AGTAAAACCAACAAAATTACCTATTTATTTAAAAATGAATCGATTTGAAAATCATACGCTATGCAAAATATGCGTGAAATTGTCTGATGTAATGATCAATAATTGCACCATGACTTATTTACTCGGATTAATAGAGGATTGTGGCTCCAACTTGAAAAACGAAAATTTGTTCCGAATTGTCCACGAATATTTGCACCTAAACTACGCAAAATTCAAAGTGCTGAATGGGAAAAAGGTGAATAAATTAGTGTCTAAATATTATATATATTTTATTAGACATAGACACATAATTCAAAGCATCCAAAGTCCTGCATTTTCGCCATTAAGAAGAAAAGAAGAGGCCGAAGAATATAGAAAACACCTTAGCATTGTAACTAAAATGTATCAAAACTAAACCTATTATGTGAACAAATAAAAACCAGTCTGTCAAAAATGGTCTGTTATTGTAAACGTCAAAAAATTTCCAGTATAATTCGCTGTTGGGTACCCCACGAGAAAAAAAATTCCACTAAAATACCTCCGTTGCCATGGTGATCTGTCAAAAACACGTATTTTGATTGGTTAAAAATTACAGGTGTGGAATTTTCAACATAATAGAATAGTATCAAGTGTTAGATACAGTAGAAATCGCCTTATTTGGGGCTAATTTCATATTAAAACCGTAAAAACTTTACGAAAGCAATCTTTTATTTAAAATTCACCTCAAAGTTTCTTTAAAAGAAGTCATAAAGGTTTCTCTACAAAATTTTACAATGTTAGTATTGTTGATATTTATTTAATTATAACTGGAATAGGCACAAAAAAATAAGACGTATACATAGAAGTTGGCAATTTAAACACTTAAATCTCTTATATGTGACAAAAACAAGTACCTACGGAAAATGTAAAAGTGTTTCACTTATTAACCAATATTACATTATCAATAATAAAAACTTGTTTAAAAACGTCAAATTATATTATGTCGAACATATCAAAATCATATTCTGCACGAAATTTTACTAATTTTTACTACTTACTCGTTTATCATTGGTCATACGCATTTCGCAATCTAGTAGTCTACTTAGAAACTTAAAAATAATGTCCAGCGATTTGTTTTGTACGTTGACAATGTTTTTCACAAAATTCTACGGCGCATAGTTTCTGAGATACGACAACCGGCGTTCTGTCTTATTTGGATATTCGGTATTTTATAAAACAATAAATATCTGCTAAAATGATAACTAGGAATAAACAAAACGATGATATTAAATATTTACTGAAAAAAATTTAATAAAGTTTAAGACTGATATGCCTATGGATGTTTTCAATACAGCCAGATACAGCTAGCGGATGTTGACGAGCTAGCCGCCATGTTACGGCAACATAATCGGTTATCTCACTCCAATTTAGAGATGGAATGATTTAGGCATTGACTTCACAACAAATACACTTTTATCAATGACTAGTTGGAGATGTAGTAATACGTAAATGTATATACTAAGTGATTTATTAAATGTTTTTAGTAAGTACGTTTACAGATCTGTGTGGCTAGCATGTAATCTCAAAAGCTTTAACCGTTTGTTTCGATATATTGAGATACAATTAAGAATTATACATAAACATTTATGCAGCATTGATTATAAATATTTTGAAGTCTAATTTTGCTTAACTACTTGGAAATATCAGGGAAAAAATACATTAATAATAATAAGAAAATACTTAATTTTATCTTTATAATAAATAACTTCAGTGCGATTGTCCGGTTCCGCCAATAACAATTTAAAATTACTTATTCTATGAAACGACACTGGCAGGCAAACATTACTGCGAAATTCTCGAAGCCGTCCGACGTGGTTTGACGTTTACCCCCTCTCTACCTACCAAAAGCCTTACTTTTACTTTCGCTATATGGTATCACACAGTGACATATTGTGGTGCGGAGGCGTTTTTTTTAATTTGAGGTATCAGCTGTGTAACATGTGATGTTGGTTTTACTTACCGTGTTTTAGCTCAATTTTAATTAGGGCCGTGAGTAGCACTTAATAACCTTGACAAAACTTAACTATAGGAAAGGGAAGGAGGGCGCCACCAAACTTACATAAACATATCATTTAAGGTGAATTATAATAGTTTGGCAAATATAATTAATATGACTGATGTTAAAATAATAATGTATATGTATATGTTTATGCAGGCAAGTAACAATTACAATCTACACAAGCCATGATTCATTTAAATTACTTCTTTATTTAATTTTCAATGATAAAAAATGAAACTTATCTCAGAGTAGGAATGGTGTTAGGTCTTCAATCTTTCTTTAAGGGTCGATCAAATAAGGACGGTCTCCTACAGCGATGCGTTTTCTTCTAACCATAAATTAACATTAACATAACTTCATATATCTGCTAACCATAAATTAACATATTTGTAACCATAACTTCAACTATCTTCTAACCATATTTTCAACTATTTTCTCAGCGTATGTTTAAACCATATTTTCAACTTCTCAGCGTATTTTTAAACCATCCAAAGGTTGACCTATCATAAAATACTGATGGTTGTTACCACTAATAAAAATACCACATACTGTTTAAGATTAATTAAATATTAGCAGATTTAATAATCTCGACTGCCTCGTTCTGAGGTATTGTTGTAAAAGCACTTTTACCAGTAATACCTGTCGAAAGTCAAATTCACTTTCGATCCGAACATACAACTTATAAAACCAAAAATAACTATATAAAATATTTGTAGCGACAGAATGAAACTAATGATCCTAATAGAGATGGGACAATCATTTTAAAAATATAGTTATAAAATATTAAAATAACGGAACTAGAAGAGTAACCGTTACAGCTGATCGGAAACAGATGGCCATATTCCGCAAATTCGACGAGATTTCGTTAGCTAAGCATCATGTCTCTAAAATTTACCAAAAAGCTAAAGTAAAATCAGTACCTCTTGATTTGGGGGGGGGGTAAATAATTTTTGTCGCCATCTTCATGTTTTTTTTGCTTTCTTTTAAAATCTCGAGGTTACAATTTTATAAATTTCAGAATTTCATAGAGGAGCTCGGGATGGAGGGGGTAATTATCCTATTATCCACTTGTATCTGCATCTGTGTTGGACTGTAATTGTAATTAATTTTATAACAAGACCTTGAATCTTTTAAAAACCGCCAAATTATCAAATTTTTAATTAGAATTTTTGAATTTCTGCTTCAATTTTGCGCAGGATATTCATTGTTTTTATTTGTGCTGAAAGGAGAGGGAGAAAAGATATTTAATAAATATTCTCAAAGGACTACCTGTTGACCAGAATATTTCTGGAATTTCTTTAAATAATTCATTTTATTAAGATTTTTGTTAGGTTTTCGACAGAAGTTTTTCAAATCTACCCTTTGTACTTCGTTATTCTGTATGATACCCGTCAAAGACAAAGACAAGCGCTTCGTTTCGAAGATAGAAATAAAGAAAACATTAAATATATTTAATAAATATGTTGATAATATTTTACGATTTTAATGAAATTTTCAGTTTATTGATATTTTAGTGAGGTGGTAACTTTTGGACTTTGGTGTTACCCAATTTTTCATAGACGTACCTACGGGGCTAGTCTATTATCGAAAACTAAGCTTTTTCGGACATAATGGGGTCTATTCTGTAACAATTCCTTTATATTTAACAGCCTTTAAAAATATTTTCTTCTTTACTTCTGTCATTATTTAAACAGATCTTTGAAATACATTAGAGGACTATCTTAAAGAAATCTGTTTAAATAATAACAGATGTAAATTAACGAATATAAATATACTTTTAAAGGCCGCCAATATTTTTAAAGGCCATTAAATATAAAGGAATTGTTACAGAATAGACCTCAATATGTTTATTAAGCAAAAAATGTTTATTTGCTGCCACTAAAAGTTTGTGGGTATATTTAAGGGACAACTTATATATAACTAGTTTAAAGAATCATATTTGTCATTAAATTTCATGAAAGTTTATCGATTAAACAGGGTCAGACAACAGCTACTCGTGCATGGAATAGAAACAAAATAATTTCTGCCTAATTGGTTATATATGGATTATTTTAGAATAATAATTAGATATCTACTTCACTTGAATTTTCTAAATTAATATATTTTGGCTTAATTTGTTAAAGATTTGAAAAATCTTTAATTCTTTATAATTATTTGTATTTTTAATTACTCATAATTAAATAATTATGTAAAATAAAATCAAGGAGATATAAATAATAAGTATATAATTTTATATGCTACACTTATAACATAATATTACGTTGGAACCATTTATATCAGCAGTTGTTAAAATACGATATAAACCTAGTGTCTGCCGCTTTAGCTTGTTTGGGTTTGGATGTTTGAAAGTGAAAACTGCCTTTGACGTTTTGAGATGAATGAGGACTAATAACAATTGCAAATGGGCATTGAAATTGAAATTATTGAAAGTTTATAATAATATTTGTTCGTTTTGTTGATCTATCACGATCTTCTACCTTCTATAGCAGACGCAGATGACAAATGCAACTAAATGGACACGAAAGTAAATAAAAGTATTTCTTATATAGGCAGGTACACCTATAGAGAGTAAAATTATTATGAATAAATGTTTCGAGCTATTGTAAAGCATTGGTTGTATAGTTGCAATGTTGTTTTTATTATAGAAAGATTTTAACAATAAATAAACTGAAAAACTTAAAAAAAAAACTAATAAAACAGAATAATAATTAGTTCTGACAAAATGTAGATCAGAAAAGAACGTTTGATATAAATACAGTACCACTATGAAGACTAGAGAACGACAGATATGGCTGATACCGCCAAGGTTATATCTGGAGTGATCACTTGGATCTTGATACAATATAGTCGAAGTGTTTGTTATTTCTATCGATCTGTCGACTTAAATCGCGTCTTAGACATACTATACCATCTTTAAATCTAATCTAATCTAATCTATTTAATTTTGAAACTGAAAATTTTTCAACGGTTCATTTTTTTACAGATCCGCAAACTACAACAACGCATCCGGTACATGCGAACTCTCAACCATGGACCGAATCACCGTAGCTGGCAGCACCTCCTTCCAACCAAGCGAAGGTTACGAGTACATGGAAAATAACTGCATCGAAGAGCCTACCAAACTATGCGAATTCAAAAAACTAACAGGAAGAATTTTGAAGACGGTCGATTCCGTGTATCAAGACGTCGGATCCGTTGACGAATGCAGGGAACTGTGCTTAAACAGCCCATACAGGTGTCACTCCTACGACTATGGAGATACTGGTGAGATGGTCTGCAGGTTGAGCCACCATTCCAGGGCTACTCTCTCTGACATACAGGTACGTTATGGGTTTTTTCTTTGTCCTTTCAGTCCCAGCAGGTTCCCTTCAATCCGTCTTGGGCCTCAGCCTGGCTCCCCCAATTTAGCTTCGGTCCCAGCCTGCCTTCATTCCTTTAGTGTTCGCATGACAACACTGCAGCCTCATTGGATTATTGTTTTACTATTTGAAATACCCTACTAAGTAACGAAAAAGGTGTATACAGCAAGTGTCCAAATTATCTTCTATTTGCTTTTAATACAGCTTACCTTTCACTAAGTCATTCTAAAGTATCCTTAATCTTAATAATAAGCCGCATATTTTTTTCAAACTGTTGATACACCTGTTAGATAAATATTCTTGTTGCAGGAACCTTACTTGGAAGTACCAGAAGCTGCAACCTATGAACTTTCGTCCTGCTACAACGTAAGCATTGACTGTCGCTCGGGAGACATGATAGCAAGAATTCAAACCAGCAAACTCTTTGATGGCAAGATCTACGCCAAAGGAAGCCCCAATTCCTGCGTTCGAGACGTCAACAATAGCCTGGAATTCGAATTGAACATGGCTTATGATAATTTGGAATGTAATGTCAGGAAAAATGGACTTGGAAGGTAAGATATCAATCTTCGATTAAATTTTCGGATAATTTAAATGTTTATCAATTTTTAGATATATTAATGACGTAGTTATCCAGCACCACGACAAAATTGTAACAAGCAGCGATCTTGGATTGGCTGTCACTTGTCAGTATGATTTGACAAACAAAAGCGTGACCAATGAAGTTGATTTGGGTGTCCATGGCGATATTACACCAGGTAAACTATTTATTTTAAATATTTAGAATCTACTTACTGTATAGAAGGAGAAGCAGATCAAAATCCTCGTAAACAATAACCGTCTCATAACCTCACTTTAAATTCACAATTCCCATTATAGCAGTCCAATTAGAGTAAGTTATATGCTCGGCGATGGGTGTGAGTTGTGACATCACACCGGGTGGGCAAGTTCCAAGTTATAAATCAAAATGGCACAGAATGGTTTGGTTTAGTGAATAACGATGAATCTATAAAACCGTAACGGTTACAAAGATGATGTTGGCGATGTATACCTGAATGGGAACACAGAACTTTGTTGACAGAACGATATAATATACGACCAAGGAAATGGTTGATTATGTAATTCCGGATAATACCTTATTATTTAATACGGTATTCGAGGTATGCAAAATAAGTTTGAAAATTCAAATTCCGTGTATTTAATGCAATTGAATAGTATATATAGGTTAAAGAAAGAAATTAACCTTTTGTACATTTCAAACAGGGGAGATGTCAAAGAAAGTCGTTACAGTCGTTACAAACGCCTAACTGAAATGTCATAATATGTGCCTCCATCTTATCGAATAAAGCAGCCCATATAATAATTTCGGTGGTTCAACGTTGTTAGAACAATTGATTTTTCGCCACATTTAATATTTAAGAAATCTCAAATTAACTGGGCGCGTCTCTCATTAGAAATTATTGCTTCCAGTTAATTGGACGTGGGTGGGCATTGAACCTGTTAAGGAAAAATCCTAGTTAAGAAGGAAAATAATATTTTGAGTGGCTGCACACCAAAATTTTGGAGACCAGAAATGTAACTGTAATCTGTCATATCTCTTCCTGGATAGCACAAGCACGTTTTATGAACGTTTTAAAAACGTCCTGCTTGGACATTCAGGACATCCTTACAACATCCATTTCACGGACGTGGACGTCTTTGCAATGTCCATTGTAAATAATCAGTATGTCTTAAGGAAGTCCATTTAAGAACATTCCATGGATATTTTCACAAGCTCAAATAGAGAAATACAGGATGTTTGAAGAAATTAGTGAAAATAATGAATATTTCTAAATCTTTTTATTTTTTATTAATATTTTTTCGTGGAAATCCCGTCTTTTCTTTACTGTGCCCTTTTTTTCAACCAAGCCATAGCAGTTCAGTTTATTTTCTTGATTTGGCCATATTGGCCTTCTCAGCTGAACAAAATCCAATTGTATGTTAAAGTTTGCCTTGCTAGACATTATGATTTCACTAAAATTTTAACTTTGTAGTATTCACTGGAAAACTTCCACCTTTCTCACAGATAAAAATAGTGCAAATTGCGAAACACGGCAGAATGATAAAACTCGTATAATATGTACACACCAACGAATCATGAACATTGAACGCCAGTCCCATGTTGTTTCTTTTTTTTTATTAATCCCGAGCCCTGAGCATATTTCAGTGCTTGAATTATAAATAAATAATTAGGCATTCCAACGACCTGTCCAAATGGCTACGAGTGGGGACTGACAGTTTAGATATGGCAACCCTGTTGCCATGTTGTCATTAACAGGGTCAATGATACATATATAGTTATATAGATTGCTCAAAGCTGGTAGTTTGCAAGCGGCCATATTGCCTGGCAAATATTTATTAATTTGAATCGGTTTAGCAAGAATGTGTTTTAAAACCAATTTTCAGCCTTTAGATATTTAAAAAATAATAATTACTTACATTTTTACTTCAAGGCATAAGCTTATGTTTATTTTGAAAAATATGGACGATCGATCTATGTAACTATCTATTTCATTGACCTTGTCAAATCACCAGGCCAACAGGGTTGCCATAATTTTGCCATATCATAACTTGTCAAAACCCACTGGTAGCCATTCAGTTTGGAATTCCTAATAGTTATATGTCAAATGTCCCTTGTTAACAATGTCATTTTCTTGCATTGAAGTTTCATTCGTTTTTTGTCCATTTGGCCTTTATTTATTTGGATATTGGACAATGCCACCTTTAATAATTATTACATTATTTCATTATATATGTTATTTATATAATATAACCAAGTAATAATACAATGCGAATGTGAATCCATGGAAATATAATAAAGCACATAAACTTTGACATTCTACGGATATCTATTTCTGGGCGTCCCGAGGATTTACCCAACTGGACATACTTAAAACGTCCAGAATTGGTCCTGGACATACAGACACTAAATGGACATGAATTGGACGTCCTTAGGACTTAACTAAGCTGGGATTCCCAATTTTTGTATTATTCTCTTATTTATTTATTTATTTATTTATTTATTTAGCGTCTTTTAGTCAGATGTACAGCCAGGATCACTTGTTTGAATTTATTTAAGTGTGCGTAAGTGGTTCAGTAGATAAATTCTGGACTTTTTACCTTGGTGTAATTTCCCACTGAATCATTCACTGTTTAGTTCTAATTAACAGTGGTATTCTTAAAGTGACACTGGGAAATAGTAACAAAGTCTATATAAAACACGAGGCTAATTAACTGTATTTTTAAAGTCAATGACACCAACTGAAATCAAAATACTAAAAATCTTATCCCAGATACTAAAAGTTATGAAGTAATAATCAGAAATTTCTAGTTAAAATATCATGATTTTATCCTATTTCATGGCTGGTTCTTCTTGAAATAATTGAATTCTAGTGTTTTTGGTACTTTCATTTGGGCAACATCGCTGCTGTCGTTTGATTCACGGACGAACCTAAAATCGTCAGAGTTTAGGAAGTGAACTCCTTTCACTCTTCTCAATTCAAATGTAACTTCTCAGCTAAGAATTACATTGATATAGGCATGGACTGTAGTTAAATAAGGAGTGAAAAGAGTAAACAGAGTCGACTTCCCAAACCCAATGTGTTTTAACCTGATGTCATATGTTTACAAAATGGTAAAGGAACGTATTCCATTCTTCTGTTATCGTTGTCTATCAGGATTCTATAAAATTATAACGTACGTTTAACACGAGTTTTTCTATTTCCTTTTACAGCCCTCTCAGAAGAAGTCACAGTGGACTCGCCCAATGTAGCCATGAAAATCACAGATAGAAATGGCGAAGACATCATGCAATCAGCCGAAGTCGGTGACCCGTTGGCTTTGAAATTCGAAATCATGGACAAAAACAGCCCCTACGAAATTTTCGTCAGAGAACTAGTGGCTATGGATGGTGTGGATTCCAGCGAAATCGTATTGATCGACTCGGATGGTTGTCCAACAGATCACTTTATTATGGGACCTATTTACAAATCGGCTACCACAGGAAAGGTAAGCCTTTTCTTTTTCTAATGGTGTCCAACTATGCTATATTTGATCAAATTGTGGTAAATTATTTTTGTTGTTTCAGATATTGTTGTCCCACTTCGACGCCTTCAAGTTCCCATCGTCTGAAGTCGTCCAGTTCCGTGCATTAGTAACTCCTTGTATGCCGACTTGCGAGCCAGTCCAATGCGACGAAGAAGAACCCAGTGGCGAGTTAAGATCCGTCGTATCATACGGAAGACGTAGAAGACGTCGTTCTACCAGCTCTTCTCATGAAGACATGCTCCTTGTCCAATCCATCCAGATAACCGACAAATTCGGCTTCGATAAAGACTCCAACAAGTCCACGAACTTCGGTAATGAAGCCATTTACATACCCACCGAAGCTGGATTATGTATCAACGTTGCAGGACTCATAGTAGCCGCTACAGTTTTCCTATCGGCTCAATTGGCCGTTATAGCAGCTTGGACATTCATCTGGCAACGTAGGAAACTGATCAACAAGTTGGACGATAATATGTCGGTCAGCGTGAGCATACCTTCGCAGCTAGGCGGCAGCCGCACGGATAGTTTGTGCAAGCTGTACGAAAATAACGGCTACACTCATTCCCGTCGATTCTAGGTAACGAAATGTAGTTCCGTTCAATTACTCCAGAAAATTAACAAGATATTGTCAAAATTGCGCTTATACTATATTAACAGCTGTCAGATAGCATTTTGTAGTTTTAGCAACTGTTGTGCTGGTAATTTTGACAGACAATAGTCTTGATGGCCATTTTAGTATCTAAAAGTATCAAAATTGTTGAAAACTTGCAGGAAGTTATCAAAATGGCTAAGAAGCTTAAATGTAGTGTTCAAAATAGCTAAATAATCCTTCTTTCAACTGTTAATGCCGCTAGTTTTGACACTATAACGATTAATAGGCTTGCAGGAAATCATAAAATTGATTTAACAATTTTTTAATATACATTCGGATATTTATTGTAATAAAATCAACTGTTAAAAAAAACTTGCAGTAACTTATCAAATGCCTATTTATCACCCTAAGACCTCAATTAATTTGAAGCTTGCAGCAAATTAGCAATATGACTTATTCATTTCTTTCTGTCAGTTTCTTGATGACGATTTTGACACTAAAACACATTAAAATAGCTAATAAATTTTGCAGCTAATAAATTATTTCTTCTGACAGCTGTCTTTTATGAAAATTGTCAAAAAACTAGCAGGAAATGATCAAAATGGCTGACTATTCTCTTCTGTTAGTTGCTTAATGACCATTTTGACACTAAAACCTTTCAAACAGCAAATACATTTGCAGGAAATGATCACAATGGTTAAATATTTCTTCTGACAGCTGTCTTGTATCAAAGTTTTCAAAAAACGGGCAGGAAATGATCAAAATGGCTGACTGAGGTCTGTCGTTATATGTTTTTCGTTATTTGACATTACAAGAGCTAACAGAAGCGTTAAGAACCTTAGAGTAACAAAAATAGCTGAATAATTCATTCTCGCAGCTGTTAAAATGGCCAGTTACACCCAGTTAAACTTGCAGGATTCACTTTTTCTGACAGCTGTTAACAGTTTATTTTGACAATATTGATACTGACAAGAGACAGCAGATTTTTCAAGATGGCGCTGCTTAACGGTGATTTGTTTATATTGGAAATTTCTTCGGTTTACAACCAAAATTAGATGTAAATTAGGCGACTTTCGATGAGCAAAACGTTGATTTGTACTTTGTTAGTTATGCGAAAGAAATTTTCGATCTATAATCGCGCGTGTATTTACCTGTATCCGTACTCGATTTGTTTTTGTGACAAATATACAATTTTTTCCAAAAAAAAAAAAAAAATTAAAATACTCTTAGAGTTTATTTAATATCGGTATACGTGCAATATAGAAAGTAAAAATAAATTAGATTGAAGGGTGTTTGTCGTATTTAAAATTGACAGAATTATAAATGACAATTATGAGTAATTATTCAAAAAGAATAATTTTATATAACCTCTAAAATATAATAAGTAATTAGTTCGACAATTTTAAATAATAAACACTCTGTATAGAAGGATTATAAACTCTATTGGGAGATATTTTAATATATTTAATTTTCAAATGATAAAATTAATAATATTTTTTGTCCCAATCATTCCTATGATTTGTCCGTAGACTAAAATGTATTATTTTCAACATTAATCGAGGGAAAATATTTCCGTTCAATTACATTCTACCCCCTAACAGATAGGCAATACACAATAAGTTCTTGTGTATGTAGGCTTGCCTATGATTAAAGACACCTTTTATTAATAAATCCAATGTAATGGAAACATTTTAGTTCATAAATAAAAAAGAGAAATGTCTTTATCTGTCAGAAAAATCCAATATGGCCGACGTGTGGCAAAGAAACACCAAGAATCTGTGGCAAATTAAGTGTGAGGTTATCTAAAAGATCCTACGTTAATTTATTAATACCTATGTGTCCTAAAAAGGTGTGTAATAAAAATATACCTATTTAATATGCATACCTATAAATACGCTTATGAATTTGAATTCTTTAAAAAATATATATATATATATATATATATATATATATATATATATATATATATATATATATATATATATATATATATATATTTTCCGTCAACTTCTCGAAACTTTCTCAAATTTTTCAAAAAGCGGAGTGTTTTCCGCTCATTGGCAATAATAATGTTGATATAATTTTCTGTATTATTGGTTGCCTACGTTCAAGAGTAAGTCTCGAGTACTCTCGATTGCCGACTGGTGGGGACGGAACGATTCTACCGATGCACAGGGACGGGACTATATTATTTCAGTGATATTCTGGCCAAATATAATACGTATACGTAGAAAATAGTGTTACTGAGTGCACAACATTGAGAACATTTTGCTTTGAAATGTACGAAGAATGAGACAGATGAAAATAAATCTCTTATTATCGAATTTCATAAAGTACAAAAACCAGTAGCTGCGTTGACAGGTATGGTTAATTCAACAATTTGAAATTAGAAAATTCGTAAATCCCCTCCTCCAAATAATAAGAATATTTCAAAACTTTTATTAAGTAACAAAATTAAAATTTAAAAAACTAAATTATTTTTCAAGGTTAAATAAGTAATATAGTGTTTTATTAAAATCAGGAAATTAAGAATCATTTATTCACGGACTTCGTATCCAAATTTCTACATCATTAATAATTTGTAGCTTATCTACACAAGTCAGACTTAAATTTGAATTAAAAATATTACATTATGTTTATCTTTCGTAGGATTTATATTTTCGGGCTACCTTTTATTAGCAAAAATAAGAAAAACTTAAATCCCGCCAAAGCATACTTACCTAATACCTAATACTTGAACTCCCCCTTAAAACCAAGTAAGGATTTTTAGTAATTACGATCACTTCAACTTTAATATGAGTAAACCATAATAAATAATATAAAGTCATCAATAATGGAAAAAGTGATGACAAAAGTCAAATGCACAAGAATGCAGCTTTTTTCATGAAACAATCTATATAGTTCAAATAAGCCAACAAAAAACTAGTAGAAGAAAAATAACATTTATTTTCATTTTTATTCTCAATGCGAAACAGAATTACTGAAATTTGGAAAAAAAAGCTACAAAAAATATTACAGTGAGTAAGTAAGGTATTTTAATTTTTTGTATACCTTGAGAAATCGGACAAATAAATAGGTGCGACTGGGGCAAAATGTAAATAAGAATTGTATTTAAATAACATAGGTATTTCTTTCATGATTCTTTTAAAGGACTTGAAAATCGTATTTAATACGGATATATTTTTGGAAAAAATTGTACTCTTTCCATTTTACTGTACTTCAAATTAAACCCGCTATTATAATCCCCCCTCAGACACGTAGCAATATGTAATGTTATTTTTAATAAGCTCAAAAATAATAAGCAACCATAATATTGGAACAAACTCTTAGATATAACTGCGCTGTTTTCCCATAAGTACGTTCTACACTGAAAAAAAAAGCATTTATTCAATCAATCAATAGATATTTCGTTGTAGAAAGATATTTTTTGTTGGAAAACGCATTAGTAACGTGAAAATACCTAACTATAGATTTTTTTCTAATTTGCCTCGATCTCTTTCTGTATTATTACAAAATCTGCTTGTTTTTCGGTTTAGGTTGTTTCGAATCAAAAGTATTACTTCGTTTTTTTTTAATATTTTGCATTGAATTGATGATTTGATTTAGATCTGTATGCGGAAATACATTTGAAAAACTTTATTCCACATTTTTTCCATACATAATATTCAAATTAAAGAAATTGATTCAAATTTTTTGAAATTTTTACACAATTTTAAGTTTGAATTATGGAAAACTATCTTTATTAGTCATTTAAAATAAAGTTATTCTTTATGAGGTCTAAAACCTAAAAGATAACCATCAGACATTATTTTTTTCAGTGGTATACCAGGTTTGTCAAAAAATATGAATTTTGTGAAAGAGTAAAGTATCTTTATTTTTGACAATATATAAAATAGTTGTAATGAAAAGTTAATAAGGATTTAAAACTACGTCCCAATGTGCAATTATATCAAAGCACTCTGAAAAATAAAATTTAATTTTCTTATACATTTCTCCCTTTAATAGCCTAAAAAATATTATTTGAAGTTTAATGACAGACATGTCACTGTATCAATGGGAATCATACATTAATTTATGTCTGTAGTTAAAATATAATTTCTGATATTTTATTATTAAAAATCAGAGTCTCACAGGGCTCCGTTTTAGGACCTTTACTGTTTCTGATCTTTTAAAATGACTTTATTGCTCGTTTAAATTTATCGATAATACAGTAATTATTCACTCAAATACTCATTGACAATATTTTGGAGGAAAATCTACAAATTATGAAAAAACCCAATTAATGGTTTGTCAAAAATAAAAAATCTTGCTAAATATATTTTTCACTTATATATTACTCATTTTTTTCAAGACATTTGCTAAATTTGATAAATTTTTCACTAATTTTAACTCCATAATTTTTAATAAAACTTTTCTTTATATCAATTTTTAAATATTGTCGAAAGAATGCTAGTGCCTTATACAAAATTCTAATTTTTTGACGTACCTTGTGTACGACTAAAATATTTTCTATTTAATGATTGTGTTTTGGGTTTTAAACGATGCAGAATTTTTTATTAAAAATAACTTTTTTCTCAAGAATAATAAAAAAGTTTTCCATAATATGGTCTCCAGTTGAGTAGAAATTAAGTGTGGAAAAACAATGGAAGATATTAGAAAACAGATTCAGGAAAACCAAAGTCTGAATCAAAATTAAAAATAACAAGTTTTTCAAATGTTTAATCGTATAAAATTTTAATTATATCACTATTATCGCAATATTATCAATTCCAAAATAAAATTACAGTTATTTATTTAGCTCGAGCCCTACGTAAATATTTTTTAGCGAAAAATCTAAAACTAAAATATTTTGCTCTTTCATAATTTGCTTCGTTCTGATCAACTTTTCTTGTTTTAGATAAAAATAGAGGTTGATGTTTTTTTGCTAAAAGGGCTAAGAAATAACGCTATTATATAAATTAAAGTTGGTGTGGGGCATTTTTAGG